ACCCCCCCCCCCCCCCCCTGCAGATATCTCAACTTCTTTTCAAGATAGATGATGATTATTTGTTTCTTCAAGGGCAAGACAAATGAACAGACTTCAAGATTTTTCCAATGACTCTATATGCCCAAAAATTAAAAATTGACCAGCGCCTGATTCCACCATGCCGTGACACCAATGAGACTAAGAGATTGACGCCAGATAGATGGAAAATTTGTCATTTTGAGACACAAGGAATGATGCCGTCGGATGTACAGTATTGTTAACTGTATTGTATATGTATATGAGCAGATGTGCCTGTGATTTATAGTCAGTCCTTTTATTAGTCATCTTTTTTTTTCCTTTTTGTCCACTACCTTCAAAATGACCTATGGTTGTGTCTGATTAGATATTTAATTTCGCTTCAGTACAGTGGACTGTTAAAAGTTTGTTACAGTGGAAACCCTTCTCCCTGCCCCTCTCACCCCCACATTTGATGACTATAATTGTCTCACTATTGCACTGTTGTCTTACTGTTTAAGGTTTGTTTTCAATATTTCTAAATGTGGTGATCTGTTGTCGGCGTTGTTATTATATATGCAAGTTTTTTTTTCAAGTGAAAGTTATCGTAGTCTACTCTGGAAATGTTTTGTATGAGTAACTATGAACATTTTAAGCCTATTTATGGCTTGTTTATTGATCCTGTTTGAAAGGAAGGATCTCATGTTTTCTCACCCGAGTCCCTTCATGATCATGGATTCTCACGTGTTATTGAACTCTCGTCTCTTCTGTGTTTTTATTCGGTCGTGTTGTGAGCCTTGGAACAGTTTATGCTTAATGATGTGAGGGATTACTCAGGGTAATTTTACTTATCTTCACTAACGACATCTTGCTTTGACACTGTTTTGTTTCTTAATGTTGAGCATGCTTTTTATTTTGCCTGTTTTGTTATGATAACTCGCAAGTCCTGCAAGACATTAAAACGCATTTGTTGAAGAAGTTAGGCATGTAGTTTGTACATGTAGCATTTTTCCACTTAGTGTAGCTTTAATTCAAGATATTTTTTTTTCCACTGGTTGCTGAGGGGGTTTGAGTAAAATAATGAATTGCTTAAACGAAAGGAATCTCATCTTAAGTTTCATTATTGCTGACCATTTGATGTGAATGCCTTGGGGTTTGACAAAGTCAAAATTCCTTTCATGAAATTGACAAAGAACTTCTAGTTCTCAGTATAATTGATTTGAAAGAATGTTGTGACCCAAGTTTGCTTTGAATTTGACAAAGCCATATCTTCTACACCCCCTGTGAAGTCAAGCTAGTGCTTACGAGTCGGTGATAAATCTTTTCCCTCTTCAAGGGACCAAGAAATATGTCATTATGAGAAGCACCTTATTAATTTTAAAAACTGCAACCCTTTTAAAAATCATTCAGACAAATATTTGAGCAGTTCTTCATGGGCTAAGTCAATGTGTGACGAAAGGATTTACTCTTTCACCTTTACAAATTTGCTCTGTGGGAATCTGGTGTTACATAAAAAAATAAAGGATGCAGTTCTTGACAGTCTAAACCAATGTATGATGAAAGGATTTACTCCTTTAACTTCACAAATTTACTCTTTGGGAGTCTAGTACATTTTAAAAAAAGATGATGTTTAGTCTGATGATTTACTATCATGAAGACGGCTGCCTTTTGAGCATAGTTCATCTGATAGCTGTGTCAGCAAAATTTGTTCTTTGTAATGCGGGTGGTGTTACTCTCACTGGCTTGAATTGATTTGAATAGAGACTAAAATACCCAGTCAGTATTGTACCACTTCTGCTCTCAGCCTAAGTCAGTCGCAGATGAAAATCTCCTTTTTTTAATACCACGGGACATGTTTTCCTTATGAGCACATTCAGATGATATAAAGATAGTGTAGGTAAATGTTCCAAAGCCTTTGTGTCTGAATTTGATGGCAAAGGGTCAAATTAGACAGGCGAAATTGAGTTCAGATGTGGACTTTGGTCACAGGTGTGTTTTCTTTCATTACGTTGTACTTTTTTTTTTAAACCTTTGAAGTGAAAAGACTGAGGGTGAGAATCATTAAAACTTGCCTCTTTGACTCATGTACAGGGCCTATAAAGACAGCATTCTCAATTTAAATGTTTGCAATTATTATGAATAAGAAGGTTTAACAACGATTGTGTCTAATAATTGTATTTCTAACTTTTTTGTTATTACTTTCATAATGTCAGTAATGTTTTTAATAAAGTTTTGTTGTTCTTTATTTTTTTGTTTTTCTTGGAGCACAGTGATTCTCACATTCACCAGATCACTATATTCACTTGAATCAATGTTTTGTTAGAACTTTCGTTTCTTATCAAATTTTCCAAAAAGCACCTTGTTTACTCTCAAATTCTCTTTGAATATGACAAATCAAATTTTACAATTGAGGTGGTTATAAATGTAAAAAAAAAAGACTTGTAGGTCCTATTCTGTTTTAAGATTTCAGCTTAAAAATGCTAGTTTTTGTTTTGTTTTTTTGTTTAAGGTTATTAATGAAAATACTTTATCCTGCTGATTCATCAGTTGTTTCAAGAAATTTACCTCTTTTTTTTTGTAAACGTAAATAGTTTTCTTAATTCTCAGCGCGGGGAGATAACTGCTTCACTGTACAAATTATGATCTACGTTTATTATGTATTATCTCTCTTCTCCTGTTTCGTGACCTATGACTTTTCTTACTGTTGTAAATAATGTGATCCTTGTTCAATTTTAATTTTGTTTAAAATTCATAGAAATGATGACAAAAGCCGCAAGAATCCGAAATCATGTACATGCATCACTGCTCAGTCTGTGTCACTTTTAAAACGAGTTTGCAGAGACATTTGTGTCATGACGTGGTGGAACCAGGCACTTGTCAATTTTTTATCGTATGCAGTTATTGGCATCATCTTAAGTCTATTCTAGTTCATCTGCCTTGCTTTTGAGGAAAAATTACAGAGCTCTGTTGTTAGAGGTAAAATTAGTGAGAAAATGGCCGCCACAGTTCGGTGACTTCTAAACCTGTGGTGTCTTTGGGAACTGTACATTTACATTTATGCCTTCGATCACAGTTTTGAGTAAAATCCACGCAGGAATCTGTTTTCCAATGGATATAAAAGGTGTTGATCCCTAAACAATAATTTTGACAAAAATTGTTCTACAGGCAGAAAATGCTTGTTTCTTCCATTTCATTATTTTGACGAGTGCCTGATTTCCCCACAGCGCCACGCAAGTATTTCTGGCATACTCCGAATGTAGAAAATTAGTATTTTTGGTCTAAGAAGCTTGATGGACTTTGTGTTGTTATTTTGATGGTATTCTCTTCAGACAGTTGAGAGCGGTAGATATCTTAGTTTTAGAAGCTTCCCTCCACTTAACCCTCCTAATATCAATGGCCGATGATGAATTTCGTTCTTAATGTTGAAGCCAATTTAATCAGCCGTACTTTGAGTTGCTATTTTGGTTTGATTATCCCATTTTTCATACTGCCAAGCATTTCAAGTCCTTCTCAAATGAGTTCTTCAAAGTATTTACATTCTACATTTTGAAAATTATAGTTTTTGGTCTGTACTTTTTTGGCTTGCGTGTTGTAAAGCATTATCCAAAATCATATTGAGAAATCATTTGATTCCCGACAGCATAGGCTATTTGATAGAGACACATAGATGGTTAATCCAGCCAGTTGTAATAGTACTCACGTGTGTATCAATTTTTATTTTGTTTTTAGATGGTTGAGTTGCAGTTTGACTTACACATTCAATTTAAAGGGAAAGCTTTACTTTTTTTGGTGTTGTATCGAGTTGAACACGGATAACTTGAACTTTAAGGGGGTGTGTCACTTGGTTTGGATTTGCCATAATTCGATTTATACGTGTTGCTGCATTGACATAGTTCCGATGAGTTGCTGCACAGTTGTAATTCTGAAGGAATTCAAAAAACATTATTTTCTACTACAGTTGATGGACAGCACAACTCCAAGCTGTTTTCAAAAGTCAATAGGATTAAAGTCATGGTTGCATTTCCAGCCATGATGCATTCCTGGTTGCTTTTTGTCAGTGTAATGAGCAATGAATGTGGATAATGCAATCCGCACAAAGTCAAGAGCCCGTTGATCTGAGTCCACACTCCCCTTCTCTTGTCTTCCATCTCTAACTCCTTAAAAAAAAAAAAATCAGATCCCCCTCCCCCGTGATTTGGCATGACTTACGACAGCAAGGTCTACCTTACCTTTCTATTCCTTTATTGCGCTGCTGTTTTGTTAACCATCAATTACATTGCACCTTCCAACTGTGCTGGGTTCACTCCATTGCTTGCATTAGGTCTGGAAGTTGCTGCTCTGAATTAGCCTGGTCCTGACAAATTATGTTTTTGGAAGGTTCAGGTTTTTAGCTTCTGTCACAAATGTCAGGTTTAGTTCATCATGTGATCATCCCTAGTTCTAAGAGTGTTTGAATTATCCTTGTTTTCGTCAAGTGTCTTTTGTTTTATATTGAAATGGCTGAGACTGAAATATCAAATCGAGTTAAGACCCATATTTAGAAA